CGTGGAGGGACACACGCTGCAGGACCACTGAGCAGCCATGCTGGGCCAGTTGTTCCCCTGCAGGGACTGACAAGCACTGAATAACAGGCTTCTTTCAGCGGCAAACGCCTTTTCCCTGGCATCTGGAATAGCTCCCTGGCAGGCATCAGTGAACAAAGGTGCCACAGCCTTCACCCAATGTCCCGAGGTTGGGTTTTGAACCAAGCAGCCTGGTGGTACCTGGCCAATTTCCACGTTACAGGGTTAGTTCACAGCTTGAATTCAAACATTTGCTCAAAGTGCCTGGGTTAGGATGCTACGGTCCATGGGCTTCACCCCTCCAGATGACAGTCCTGTGTCACATTCTGAATAATTGCTGGGAGACCTTGTCTCTTCACATTGCCTGGAGAACCCAGGACAAAACACCTGACACACATGCCTAGAGTTAGAATCATAGAATCATAGAATCATTAAGGTTGGAAAAGGCCTCTAAGATCATCGAGTCCAAACGTCGACCCAACACCACCATGCCCACTAAACCATGTCCCTAAGCGCCTCATGTACACGTCTTTTAAATACCTCCAGGGATGGGGACTCCACCACTGCCCTGGGCAGCCTGGTCCAATGTTTAACCACTCTTTCAGTAAAGACATCTTTCCTCATGTCCAGTCTAAACCTCCCCTGGCACAACTTGAGGCCATTTCCTCTCGTCCTATCGCTTGTTCCTTGGGAGAAAAGACCGACCCCCACCTCGCTACAACCTCCTTTCAGGTGGTTGTAGAGAGCGATGAGGTCTCCCCTCAGCCTCCTTTTCTCCAGGCTAAACAACCCCAGTTCCCTCAGCTGCTCCTCATCACACTTGTTCTCCAGACCCCTCACCAGCCTCGTTGCCCTTCTCTGGACACGCTCCAGCACCTCAACGTCCTTCTTGTAGTGAGGGGCCCAAAACTGAACACAGTATTCGAGGTGCGGCCTCACCAGGGCCGAGTACAGGGGCACGATCACTTCCCTACTCCTGCTGGCCACACTAGTTCTGATACAGGCCAGGATGCCATTGGCCTTCTTGGCCACCTGGGCACACTGCCGGCTCATGTTCAGCCGGCTGTCAACCAGCACCCCCAGGTCCTTTTCCGACAGACAGCTTTCCAAAAGTTAGAGGTATGAATCCAGTCCAGCCGTAACTTTCTCCTTGGTGCCTTTCCCTTAACTATAAATCAATGGATGTAACTGCATTTTTGACATCTCTCACTCTGGACACCTTATAAAGTGTTTTTGAATTGGCCTGTGGAAACCTTGGAAAGGTTTAATACAGAGTCATAATATTGATGTCAGGGGACATCATTACAGAAGGGGAAAATTGCCCTGCAGCAGTGCTGTTTCTTTCTGACCCAGACAGTAAATGCCAGAGGGATCACTGATGCTGCATGGGTGTTGCCTTTAACCATGAGCATAGGTCTAGACAAGGAGGATTCAGCAGGACTATCAAGTCTGTTGTGAACTCTGGGTTCTTGAAGGCATTTGCGATCAAATCCAGCTCATACAAGCAATGTTCACTTATGTGCAAAGCCCAGCACTGAGCTCGTGCACACCAGTTTCTGCTTGAACCTTCAAATAGCACCTTAAACGGAGCTTTAATGGTACAGAAGCTACAGGACTGGCACTTGGAGCAGGTATGGTGTTCATCATGTAGTCTAGATGTGGGGAATTAACCTGTTAGTGCAATACTGAGATACTAGAAAATGCATAAGTATTGCTGTGTCAGAGGAGAATAAGTTTTCTTTTTCCTGCACTTCAAAGCCAATTGAGTTTTAACATTTAGTTTTAACCTTGTACTTCAGTTTCTTGATGTAGGATTTGTTTACACAATTTTAGGGGTGGATTCTATGATTCTGTGATTCAGTTTTTTTACATCCATGACTAATGCAGTTTAAGACGCCCCGGAGAAGCCCTGACATTTACAAGGCGCTTGAGATGTGACTCTGGACCTACAAGAGACTGGCACCCCTTCAGACCAACACCGGGGCGTGATACTGGATTTCCTAGGCCCTCTCAACTGGCACTAAACTTCTATGTTTAAACAACTACGTAGACCCTAAGCTGTTTGAAAGCTTAGGTCTGGAAATGTCAACAGAGAAAACATGGAACTGAGACTACTAGATGAGACAAGATATCAAACTTTGAGATAGGTTCAGGGTTCAACTGAGTTGCATCTAGAGAGAGATGTAGTCCCACCTGAGATGTCCTAGGAAACCCAAGACATCCACATGAGGCTAACAGATGGGGTTGCCCTTCTTTTTAGGAAGGCCCAGATCTTTCTTAACTTCTGTGTCTTGAGGACGATGTGCTTGTCTTGGACTCCCTGGAGGATCTCAGATGGCACTGTAAGCCTTTGTGAGGGCAGGTCAGCTGAGATCTAGCTCTCCACTGACTACTCCACACAGACCCCTATTTCTCAGACACCTAAAATTAAGTATGCACATCTGGAGCTGAGCCCAATTCTTAATTTGAGTGAAATGAATCTTATCTCTGGAAATCAATTGATTGGCTATGAGTTTAAGAAATTAATTCTTAAAATGACAACAATATTAATGATTTGATTTTGAATATTGATTATTCCAACATGTCTGCATGCACTTTCACAAACCTGGCACAATACTACACACATACTTTTTCACCATACAATTTAAGGCATTTTGTTTTCACCCTCTTTTAGTTTTTTGCTGTTTTATTCTCCCTGCAAATTATTGATAAAATGGACTGTTTCCCAAAGAGATATACACATGTATGCAGCTGAGGCATGGTCAAACTTCTGGCATCAATTGGGCATTTATTCAGAAATGTATATGTTGCTCCAGGGGAAAAAAAGATATAATCTGGTAGAAAACAGTTGTTAAATGAAGTTTGCAGTTCTATCGTGATTTGTAAAGTCCAGCCTCTCCAGTAAATGTTTGAGCCTCTTCCAGTTGTTTGCTGCAGCTCAAATGCCCAAACCTGTTCCATGTTAAAGGTAAAATTAGTTAAAATATTACTGGTTGTCTGCAAGGGTGAGGCACTGAGCAATTGCAAATCCTATTAGCTTCGGAACAGGGCCTCGTACAAAATCATCTGAGGGATCCCAGACGATTGTAAAGTGCTTAGATACCATCATTGGCATAGTAAAGGTCATCACAAGGAATTGAACTTTACTCATTTCTAATTTGGTCAATATTGCATTCAGCCACTTCTCAGATACCTGTCAGGTGAGTTAACTCTTCTTTGTTATCTACCGCTACGTTACTACGTACTACAGTGATGGGCACAGTACAAACAGATTGGTGGTCTGGAAGAGGAGAGATCTACTGGAACGACCTTTCTGGGTGGTATTTCCAGTGAAGTGCGGAATGATCTCAACCTCTACTGAAGTAAAATAAAGTGGGGAAAAACTTTGATATCTCAGACCCCTTTTCTGGGTACAGAGAAGGTAGGGTAGGGTAGGGTAGGGTAGGGTAGGGTAGGGTAGGGTAGGGTAGGGTAGGGTAGGGTAGGGTAGGGTAGGGTAGGGTAGGGTAGGGTAGGGTAGGGTAGGGTAGGGTAGGGTAGGGTAGGGTAGGGTGGGAAATGAATGTACATCTGTGGGGGCTCTGACCAGACTTTGGCAATGAATCCAGATTTTGTCACGTTTCTGTGGATTGGCAATCTTTCCAGGAAAATGGCATGCAACAGATGAAAGGCATCCTGAAGTCACTCAGAGATGATGCCCAGCAGAGCCACAGATCACTCAAGCAGCAAACAGCATGGCTTAAAGAGTGGGAACAAGAAGGTATCACAAACAAAACAGCCTTCCCTTTCCCCAAACCGCTTTTCTATTGAAACCACTAAATCTTAATGAGTTTACTAGCCCTCTAGAAATGAGGGCAGGTAATTGCAACATTACTCACAGGATTCAAGATCAAGTTTACCACATTTAACTCAGAAGAAAAGCCAATTATGATGGTTCAACTCACTAGAGATACTGTAATATGTAATGAAAATATACTTTAAAAAAAGAAAGGAAGGAAGAAAGAAAAAGAAAAAGAAAAACAGTTTTTGATAAGCAGTTCTAGAAGTCCAGGTCATCCTGGTCAATCTCATCAGAGTCTTCTTTCTTTTTAGAAGCCTGAACTTCATCAGTATGTTCAACCTTCTTTGGATCTGCACCTTCAGCATCTGCCTGGTCCTCATCTCCTAAAGGGTCAGTGCACGAAGATGCTTTGTCCTCTTCTTCTTCTTCACTGTCAGGATACATCTGTGAGGGTTTGCTGCTCTCACCACTTTGAACCTCTCCATTGCTGTGGTTGTTCATGGAGTCATTGTCATCTTCGCATTCCTCTTCACCTTCATCTTCAGACCCCTTCTGGGATTGCTGTGAGAAGTTTCCCATGGAAGAATAACAAGAAAAGGCAGCTGCTTTGTTCAGAGTCTCTAGCCTTTTGCTGTTTGTTTTGCATTTGGCCTTTGAGGCTTTCTCAGAAATCTTGTTGTTGCCTTTGTCTTCGTGTTTTTCATGTGCCTTGTCAGGGTCATCACTGGTAGGTTCCTCATCATTCTCATCATATATGTCACCTCCTTCACCGTTGTTTTCCTCCTCAGCTGAACATGCCTCATCTTCTGACTTTGGATTTCCATCTTCCACTGCCTCAGCTTCATCTTGCTTAGCTTCCTCACTTCCTTCTGCAGCATCTCCTTCAGGATTGTTGTCAGTTCCAGAGCCATCAGCATCTCCTCTGCATTCGGATGTCTCTTCTTCATCATCAGCACCAATGTCCTCATCCTCTGGCTCCTCTGCTTCCTCAGCTTCATTGTCAGCTTCATCTTCAGCTTCGGAATTCTCTTCAGCTTCCTGCTCTTCATTCTGAGTTTCTTCTTTTTGTTCTTCTTCTTCCTTGTTTGTGTCCTCCTCCTCTTCCTTTGTTTCTTCATCATCTTTTGCTCCCTCTTTTTCCTCTTTTTCTTCTTCCTCCTCCTCTTTTGGGTTTTCTTCCTCTTCTTCCACTTCCTGCTCCTCTTGTTTTGTTTCTTCCTCATCTTCTTTTGCTTCCTCATCCTCCTTTGTTACTTTTTCTTCTTCTTGCACGTCTTCCTCCTCTTTTGTTTCTTCCTCCTCCTTCATGTCTTCCTCCTCACCTTTTGTTCCTTCTTCCTCCTCCTTCATGTCTTCTTCTTCTTTTGTTCCTTCTTCCTCCTCCTCCTTCACTTCCTCCTCTTCCTCTTTTGTTTCTTCCTCTTCCTCCTTCACTTCTTCTTCCTCCTCTTTTGCTTCTTCCTCTTCCTTCATGTCTTCCTCCTCCTCTTTTGTTTCTTCCTCCTTCTCACGCACTTCCTCCTCCTCCTCTTTTGTTTCCTCCTCTTCCTCCTTCACTTCCTCTTCCTCCTCTTTTGTTTCTTCCTTCTCCTTCATGGCTTCCTCCACATCTTTTGTTCCTTCTTCCTCCTCCTTCATGTCTTCTTCTTCTTCTTTTGTTCCTTCTTCCTCCTCTTCCTTCACTTCCTCCTCCTCTTCCTCTTTTGTTTCTTCCTCTTCCTCCTTCACTTCCTCTTCCTCCTCATTTGCTTCTTCCTCCTCCTTCATGGCTTCCTCCTCATCTTTTGCTTCTTCCTCCTTCTCACCCACTTCCTCCTCCTCTTTTGTTTCTTCCTCCTCCTCTTCCTTCACTTCCTCCTCCTCTTCCTCTTTTGCTTCTTCCTCTTCCTTCATGTCTTCCTCCTCCTCTTTTGTTTCTTCTTCCTTCTCACGCACTTCCTCCTCCTCTTTTGTTTCCTCCTCTTCCTCCTTCACTTCCTCTTCCTCCTCTTTTGCTTCTTCCTCCTCCTTCATGTCTTCCTCCTCATCTTTTGTTTCTTCCTCCTCCTTCACTTCCTCCTCCTCTTCCTCTTTTGTTTCTTCCTCCTCCTCCACTTCCTCCTCCTCTTCCTCTTTTGTTTCTTCCTCCTCCTCCACTTCCTCCTCCTCTTCCTCTTTTGTTTCTTCCTCCTCCTTCATGGCTTCCTCCTCCTCTTTTGTTTCTTCCTCCTCCTTCACTTCCTCCTCCTCCTCCTCCTCTTTTGTTTCCTCCTCTTCCTCCTTCACTTCCTCCTCCTCTTCCTCTTTTGTTTCTTCCTCTTCCGTTTCTTCCTCTTCCTTCTTCACTTCCTCTTCCTCCTCTTTTGCTTCTTCCTCCTCCTTCATGTCTTCCTCCTCATCTTTTGTTTCTTCCTCCTCCTCCTTCACTTCCTCCTCCTCCTCCTCCTCTTTTGTTTCTTCCGACTCCTCCTTCACTTCCTCCTCCTCTTCCTCTTTTGTTTCCTCCTCTTCCTCCTTCACTTCCCCTTCCTCCTCTTTTGCTTCTTCCTCCTCCTTCATGTCTTCCTCCTCATCTTTTGTTTCTTTCTCCTCCTCTTTCTCTTCCTCCTCTTTTAATTCCTCTTCCTCCTTTGTTTCTTCTGCTGCTTCCTCTTTTACTTCCTCATCTTCTTTCTCTTTTGATTCTCCCTCTGCTTCCTCTTTTGTTTCCTCCTCTTCTTCTTCCTTCATAATTTCTTCTTCCTCTTTCTCTTCTTCCTCCTCTTTTGCTTCCTCTTCTTCTTCTTCACTCTCTTTCATTTCTTCCCCCACTTCTTCTGCTTCTTCCTTTTCTTCTTCTTTGGTTTCTTCATCTTTAACCTCATTCTCCATCTCACAGTTTTGACTCTCTGATATTTCAGGTCCTTCTTCATCTCTGGTCAATGTTGAGCTGCCCACTTCATTTAATTCTGGCTCCTTTTCTTCATTGCCCTCTACTTCCGTTTCACTTGGCTGAAGTTCACCCTCATCATTCTCCTCATTTGGATTGCCGTTTTCCGCTGCTTCTTCCACAGAACTGCTGGGAATTGTTTTGACGTCCTGGGCTGCTTCTGAGACACAGGCTTCCTCGTTATCATTTTTCCTCAACCTCAGGATTTGCTGTAAATCAAATGCTTTCATGACTGGGGCATTGGTGGCCACCACTGGGTTTTGTGTAGGCTTGGAAGCCATTTTTTTCCTCGCGCAAGAGTCACATGGGCAGTATTCCTCCTCACTTGTTTGTTTACTAATACTGTCCTCAAAAGCTGCACTAAATGCTATATCTTCATCTACATTAAATGATAAGTCTGATATGTCCTCTAGCCTACTCTGGTTTCCATTCTTGTCACTGAAGAGTGACTGTTTATGCATAGTCTGCAATTGTTGTCTCCTTTGCTCAGTTTGGAGTGTTGACTTGCGTTTGAGAGGTTCATCCAGAGATCTTGGTGTCTTCTTCCCTGCTCTGGATTTGATCTTCCTCAGCTCCTTCTCTATGCTATTTTGTATCCTTTTACTCACTTCCTCCTTCAGCTCCAGTATCATTTCATCTATCTGCTGGTTGTTCTGCAGGTTCCACCTGGCTTTGAACTCATCCATGGCACTGACATAGTGAGCCATGAACTCCTTCTCAATTTTCTTGAGCAGTCTCAGGACCCAGGTTGGATCAGGATCCACTGGGTTTTGCTGGACAAGGGATGTGCCTACACTGGTGGCCGTGTCGATTTTGGGGTCTGGGTCATTTGGAGACTCTTTTTCAAGCTGCTCTTCCAAATCAGCTTTCAGTTCTGTCCCACAGTCAATATCATTGACATTTGTATCATCAGTAGTTATTAGTTGATCATCTTTCTCTTCAAGATTTTCTTTTGGGAGTTCATCATTCACAGCTTCAGCTTCTTCTTGTTCTCCATTTTCAGCTGATTTGCTGTTTTCTTCATTTTCATTTTCTCTTCCTTCATCCTGACCATTTTCACAGTTACTGCACTGATCCTCCTTATTCTCTTCTGCCTCCTGAATTAGAGAGTCCTCTCTAGTAGACTGTGCTTTTTCCTCACCTTTTGATTTTGAGCAGGCTGTCGAAGGTCGGGATGACTGCTTTTCCTCTTTAGTTTGCTCCTCAGCCTCAGTCAGTTCAGTTCCAGTCTCTACATTTTCCACTTGTGCAGCTGATTTGAATTCAGTAGTTTTCTGTGCCGTTAAAGTACAGTCCCTGGCACCAGCTGTAGTCTCTTCTCCTGAGCCACCAAAACCACTGCTAACATCAACCCCGGAGGAAGACATGGGAGTGAAGTCGTAATCTACAGATTTTTGGGCTTTAAACCCAGAGGCTGTCTTTGCCTGCTCACTTGCCTCTTGACCTGAACTTGGACCACTTTTTTCCACTGTGCATCCAAAGCACAGGGCTTGAAAAATATTTAGCAGCTCCATATACTTCGGTTTATTCAAAGGTTTTGATTTATCTGATGGATCTTCTGAAGCTTCATCAAGGAGTTGGAGACTGGCAAGACAAGTAATCAAAATGTTGGCAGAGTTACTCAGTTTTCTCCCCATAGTGGGGGACACTTCAGGCAAACTGTTTGATCGGTCAAATTTTGTTTCATGTTTTGAACTGAGCAAGGCCTTCATGATCTGGACAGAAGTCTGGACAGAGGTTGGCAGGTCTCTTCTGTTGTTGTTTTGGCTGGATTTAACTGACTGGCTGCATTCTGCCTGGTCGGCCTTGGCAGCTTCGGACACCACCTCAGAGATTTGTTCCTGATTCACGCATTCTTCAGCCTCTTCATTAATAGCAGTGACTTCTGCTGTCTCTTTTCTCACTTCATCCTTTGTCTCGTTTTCAGCCTCCTCCACATTCTTTTTCTCAGCTTTTTCATCCTCTGAGATTTCCTCAGCATTTGTACAGTATGCTACCTCAGTGGTTGCCTCTACACATTCCTCTTCTGCATCATCCTCCATTTCATATTTCATAAGCAATGTTTCTGAAGGGATTTTACTCAGCCATTCTTGCACAACTTCTTCTGGAGATGTATTTGGTAGAGCGGATGGCGTTAAATCACTGCCTTCCTCCTGCATGCCCGTGCCTTCTAACTCTTCCTCCACTTTTCTGTTGCAAGAGCCATCAATCTCTTCATTCTTCTGATCATTTACCTCAGTTGCAGCTGATTTAGACCCATAGGAAGTTGCTTTGGAGGAATCTATAATTTCTTTCTGCTCTTTTCCTGTGGTCACCGCTGACTCAGTACCTATGGTACTATTGGAGGAATGCTTCAGCATGGTTGACCGTATATTTTTGCTGTTTGGCTTCCCTTTTGGTGGCGCAGGGCAATGCATACTACATACTGACAAAGTCTCAGACAATGATGCTTGGCTGGAGTTTGACATCTTCACACGAAGATTTCTAATTTTTATCTGCCTTGATTTTGAAGATTGAGATATGTTTGATTGTGAACACCTATCATCACTTTCCTGGGATATCTGTGTCAACAAGCATTTATCTTTTACTTCTGAATTTGAAGAGACTCTTGAAGAGACACTTGCAGGATTTACATTCCTAATCCCAGTCTCAGTCAAGAGGTCACCTTTTGAACACACACTCTCACTCATACTTCCATGTCTTGAAGAAAGGACCTCTGAATTCATCTTGGAATGACCCTCTCCAGCTTTTCCATTAGGGCTTGAAACACGTGAGCAGAGGGATGATGGGTTGCTATTTTCTTCTCTATGGCTTCTCTTCTTTGAGCCTTTTGAGGATTCACTGTAGCCATTGGTGGTACTTTTCAAGCTTTTCTCCTCAGTAAAACATGCAGTTGCCTCTGCTTCATTAGTAGATGAAATGTTTGAGTGAAAAGATCCTGAGTTATGAGACATGGGGTCTCTGATTGATTTTTTCTTGATTTCACATGAGCTTTTTGAGTAAATAGATGCCCTGCTGCATGATCTCACATCATCTGTATGTAGGGAATAGTTCTTTTTATTTGGATTGGATTCAAGTGAAGACACAGACATTTCAGACTGTGCATCCAAATGAATATGGCTGTGTTTGGTCTTTTTGGATCCTCTGGAAGAACAAGAGGCATTGCACAGAACAATCTCATCGCTGTCACTTCTCTTGCTGTTCCTGTTACTAGCTCTGGAATGGGGGGTTCCTTGTGTAGAGCATCGTTCACCTTCACTGCTCTCATCTCTAATTGATTGGCTGGGCTTTGTTTTTGCTGACACGGAGCTGACTTCATTGATTTCATTTTCTTCTTGTTCTGCTTCAACTTCTTCAGCCTTTTTCTTAGGGCAGGACTCACTGGAGAAGGAAGAGACCACTGCATTGTCATCAGAGTGGTCATCCTGTTCACTCTTTGCTCTTGGTGTAGTACAGTTACTAGACTTGCTGTGCACACTGTTGGCAGGAGTGGAGCACCTAGTGTTATCTTCTTGATTTGCCTTCTGAAGGCCGGAGGAGGACATGCTCCTACCCACGCTACTTGTTTCCTCACATACATTCTTCTTGCTCTGTCTGGACTGCAGAGATGACCCTGACATGACACTCCCAACTCTGTTGCATTCAACCTCTTCCACATCATCCTTTAAGCACTTCACAGAGGAAACTTCAAAACAATTTTCATCTTCATTTTGTGAATTGGTTTTGCTGGCCTCATGGTCTTCAGGGGCATCCTGAATATCCAGATTGTTTTCACAGCTTGAATGTGACATTAAGGATGAAGGTCTCTGACTATTGCTTGTGCTTGTCCGAGTGTGTTCTTGCTGGTCTTCTCCACTGGAAACACCTGTAGACAAATCACTTCGACACATACACTTTTTAATGGATCGGTATGCCACTCTGTTCTCTATAGTCTCTGAGTAGGATGAGGACTCTTGCAAAATGTGCTCGGAGAATTCCTCACTGGATGTGGTGTGGAGGCTACGCATAGAAGCCTTTTTTTTGTGGACTACTCTCCTCCGGGAAGATGTGCTGGAGCATGACGACCGTGTGTGCCAGGTGCTTCGTACACTGGGCTCTTCCCTCTGGGATGTGTGCATGGGATTTTTCCAAATGTCATAGTCCTGGTGTTTCTTGCCACAGCTATGACAATGAGCCTCATCACATTCTGATTCCTCAAGTTTTGACATGTAAGAATCAATATCACAGGGATATAATGACTCATCTGCCTCTGAGCTGGCTTCTGGGTTCATTTTCTGTATGGGGTCTACTCCACTGTCCTCCTCTACACCTGACTCTTCACAAGGTGTTTGGTTCATCAGATTGGACTTCTTGATCTGGGTGGACCATTGCAAAGTCTCATCATTTAGCAAGCGGAAGCGAACTTTCATCTCAACAGACAGGCTACCATCCTTGTTCACGTGTACCCGTTTTTCTATGTCGTCATTGACCAAGGAATGGACCAGGTCCCCAGGTTTTGGATGCGAGCAACTGTTTGAGAAAGGTGCGCCATTATCTGGTGAGGCAGCGAGACCATTAGGATATGACTTTTCTGATGATAAAGAAAATCTCATTGACCTATTGCTTGATGATGACCGTGGATGGATAACACTTTTTTTGGTTTTCAGTCCAAAGTTCACTGGAATTTGAAATAGGTAAAGAAAAGAAAGATGGAGAGAAGTGTTAACTCATGTAAAGATGGCAAAAAATATATAGATCAAATCCTCAAACTAATGAATACTGATATTATTCCATTAAAGCTAAGCCTATGCTGGTTTACATAATTTGAAAATTTGGCTTTGACTAAGTAGTGGCCATAAATGTTAAGTTTTGAATGAATAGTCTGTATTAAAATCTTCTATACCTTAACTTTATTATTTTTCTAAATCTAAATTGAAACGCAAACAGTTTTTTGTTGTATTATGTGCATGCCAGGAAGAAAAAAAATATGCATATAAAGCAATTTAGTCTCAAAGTTTCTGTATTTTATCACATTGCAAATACCCCTTTATTTATCTGCACGAGTTTTCATCCTTCTTATTCAGTTGGGGAAAAATACATGGAGAAGTGACCCTCTTCCTCAGTTAGAGGTCAAGTGTCACACGTTTATTCTGCATCATCCACTTCTCCACTCACATGCCAGGAAACACAGGTGTGGCCGTGTACACCAGAGCAGCACTCAGTCCCTGCAGGGATGTGCCACTATGAATAATTATAATGCTTATTAAAACATAAAGAACAAATGGAAAAGGAATTGTAAGCTGGTGACAGTTACAAAGAGAAATAGTGGTAGTTATAGAGGATAGTGTGTACCAGTGGTAGTAAGGGAATTTTAAGAATTGTAATCCAAAGCACATCTCTATGGCCCAGTGCAGTGATCTGCACAGATTTATTGAGGTCCTACACCCTTCATTTCAAGCAGAGTGTATTGCTATCATGCTGTCTTGCAAGATATGCATCTATCTTGTTTCTAATACATATGTTTGTTCAAAGCTGACTTTTATATATCTAGACAACCGCATGCCTCTGTAGGCATACAGATATGCAGCTGAATGGAGGGCATTTTAGGAAGGAAGAGTTGAACAGGGAGCACACCAACCAAGATCAATAACACATGAAATAGCTTCTATCTATCCATCCCTACGCATTTGAATGGATGTATTTGCTCAGTCTCTTGATGGACAAAGCTTCAGCTTATTCCCACTGCTTCCTCCAATTTTTTATGTCTCAGGCAGCGAGTGTGGGATGCCTCTGTCCTTAAGTTTCTACAACTAGTTGTCAACACATGAATGAATCTTTCCTGACTCCTGGTATTGACAATGGAGACAAACAGGTGCACCTCCAGAGCACACTTCATTTCACCCTAAAACAAATACCTAATATAGGTGAGATAAATTGCCCTCTGGAAATGGGAAGTTTCTCTCCATAGGCTACCGAGGGTGGCTGGTTTAATTACCTGTGACCTTAGATAACTCATGATGAAGTGCCTACAGAATACCATCCTGAATAACCCATAACATACTCCTTCCTGAACGTAACCTTTCCATAAAAACATGCTTTGTTCCCAAAGGGCTACACTGCAGCTGTAACCTGCAGGAGAAACTGAGTCTCCTGCTGACAAAAACAGGGCATCCTCTGATGCAGGCAAATGCAGAAGTGCAGGCATTATATGACAGACAGACAAGGGGATAGAGGATTCGTGGGAAATCTCAAGGGTTTGGGGAGTCTCGGAGGCAGAAACAGGAAAGGAGGGAGTTCTGGAAGGAAAAGGACACACAGAGATATGAAAGAGGAAGGGAAGTCAGCCAGACATGGGGAGCATGTGAAAGAAAGACTGGAGGGTGTAGGGAGGAAATCCTAGAAGGAAACCAGAGAAAAAGAAGGGGAAGATGGAAAGGCCTGGGAGGCAGAGAGAGGGAAGTACATTTTGCACATGAAATCTGCACGTTGGGGCAGCACAATAGGTGCCTGTATTCTCCATGTTGTGGGACACAGGCCTGGAGACGACTGTGCAATATGCCCCAGAGGTTTTCTTACTTTCATTGTTTTCATTGACATTGTTGCTATTGGAACGGGGAGCCAGGTCAGGCAGCTTCTCCACTGAGTGTTTCCTCAAATTCTCCATCGATACAGGTTTAAATGGCTCCCGGCCGACACACACCAGCACGCTGGGGCAGTGAAGCAGAGCCTGCATGCTGTCGATCTAGAAAGAGAAGAGCAAGTGGGTGACCATGAGCTGATAGAGCAGAGCTAGATTCTTCCAGGCCCAGAATCAACTGACATTTAGTTGTCACCTAAAATAAAATAAGCATGGTTCTGGAGAACTTCAGGGTCTACCAGAGCCTGTTGGCAGGCTCTGTTGCAGTATTCTTCCATTGAAAGAGAAGCTCTGCTATGTTTTAATCAGAGCTCCTAAGATAGGGAAGGGGTGGGAGAGGTTGCCTAAGGGAGAAGATATCTCATTTATTACAAGGTTTTACACCTTCTGGGAAAGATTTAGGCATAATGGATGTGGTGGTGAGGAAGGGGGTGGAACTGGAGGCTTTTCAGTTTCCCTTACAGAGAATTACACTCTTTAATTCTTCTAATTCCTGTATGGGACAGCAATTATTACCTGGTAAATGTTACATTCCAGATTGACCATTAGTTCTCTTCCTTCCTCTGCTCAGGAAGGGACAAGAAGTGTGACTTCCCCTAGTATTACCCCAAATACTGTCTCAAACATTACCTCAAGTATTGCCACAATGCTGGACAATGTGGGACATTGTCCTTCAGTGTGGGAAGTGTCTGTGAAGGACTCTATGTTCCTCCACAAGAACCCAGGCTTACGCACTGCCTCTTCATCTTCACCGCATGACCTGTTTCTGGATTACACACCAAGTCCTTCATGTCAGCTGCAGCTAGTTACAGGCAGCAGGGCTAGATGTGGCAGAAAGTCACTTTTACCCAAATACAACATTTACCTAGGATCTAAAAGAGCAGGAATCAGTCTTGTGATGAGCACTGGCTAGACAAAGCCTGGACCCCTCTTCCATCTTGCTTCTGCAATCCCTTATTTGTAAGCCTGAAGTGAAGCACCCAGGTAAACCACTTGTTGGCTTCTAAAAGGATGAGAGGGCTCTCTTGCTGTCTGGGAGGGCTTTAGAGTGGCCAACATCTGGCAGCTTTGTGCTGTCAGGGGTCTCCACAATCCAGCTGGGGTGTTCCTTCCTCCTTAGACTGCTACATCAGGAGAACATCTCTAGAGCATATGGGGACTCACCAATAAGAAGTGACCATGCAATGGGCTACCAAGATGTTAGGTAGCGCCCGTGGTGGGCTAAGCACTATCTTGCCCGTAAGATGCACCCTGACCTCACTGTGTCACTTAATCATCAGCCCTTTAACTAGCAACCGAGTATGGAAGAGAACAAATCTCAGAGGAGCTGTGATGACAGTTCTGCAGTTGCCACACATGCCTGACATGACAGAGCATAGAGAAAGGACCTCGTTATCTAAATATTGCTATAGCAAAAGAATGAAGAATCAGGCCCCTTTCAGAGCCCAAGCCCTTAGGTTGTGAAATGCCTCTGGGTTTTTCTGAGATTAGTTAATACCACTAGGGCTTTGAGAGGTACTAAGATAATAGTGCTGGATCTTGTGCAAATAAGAGGAAGGTGAATGTGTGGAGGGTGAAAGAACAAGACAGATACAGATAGAATCACACTCAAGATCCAGTTAAACACTTCTGGTAATTTTTCTTACAGTAAAGCATATGGCATCAACTTTTTAGTGGGAATACACTAAAATCCCATTGTCTTCCCATTATTTTTTATTTACTGTTTGCACTATAACAACACTTGAGACCTGAGGCCCATTGAGTCTGTTGCTGTAAAAACCCACAGTAAGAGAGGCTCTGCTCTCTAAAGCTTACGCTAAGCACCACTGTGTGTAAAGCAACAAAATTGCTGAGTCTATGTGATGAGTACCATGAAACAGAAACAGGAACTAACCCACAAATCTCAGTCTGCCTACGTCTACTGCTTGTCATTTGTCAATAAATCCACTTTTAGTCCATGTATTTCTAAAGGAAACATCTTTCTAGCTCACTCAAAAAGTGTACAGAAAGCCTATAATTTAATAAATGACAATACTTTGAGTAGGTTTTTGCCACCTGTATATTTCTTTTCCTTCTTTACTTTCCTGTTCTTTTTTCTTTTCTTTTTTTATTCCTTTAGTGAGATCTTTTGCCGTGTCCTCATACAAGTAGAAAAAAGGTGAGGGTAAAAAAGGAGAACGAGAAAAGGAAGAAGAGGGAGAGAAGAAAGAAAAATAGACACGAAATCTCTTCCGACCCTAATGTAAAACAATCCCCCACTAAGTTTAGGAACTATTCCTCTTTGTAAAGGACATCTTTTCAGTGAAAGCTATTTTTTGCCCAGGACATTTCCTCACACGGTACTGTGTCTGTATATAGATACTTCAATCACACTCATCACCGCTGCGCTGTGTGTGCAGAAAATAGATGGTGCCAATGACACAGCTTCAGGAATCAATGGAGCTGAGCCAGCCGAGTTATTGAATTTATATATACTGCACAAACCAAATCCTTTAAGATGGAATACACTTGTGTTATGTGACATAAAATAAAGGGTCTGTCATGTAGTATTTCTTGCATCATCAGCTCTTTAGAAGTGTTTATACCTATAACATAGCTTTTCTTCCTAATACCTTGCAAGCTTAATCTCTTTGAATTAATAATTGTAGAAATTCATCTAAATTTGGGAAATCAGTACTTTGTTATGCTTCACCGTTAAAAACAGTTTGGTAGTTGTAAATACAACTGAATGTTTCCTAAGGGTGAAATAAATCTTTTTTCTCACATTGATTTGGTTTAATGCAACATCCATTCTGTCAGGGCAGTACAGTACTGTGGAGTTGGGATAATAGTTCATCTCAGTTTGCTCAGCACAGACCTTTCCCACACTGCTGCACGAATCCCATCCTCTCAACAACACGTCGCTGCCTGGGCTATACAGAGGACATCTGCCTTCAGGGCAATCAATATGGCATTTTTTACTAGTGCTAAATTATCTCTAAACAGCATGTCCCCTCTTAGGTGTTTAGCAACTTGCAGCTCGCTCAGTATGTCCCAGGATGAGGTCCATGCGTTGCTTCTCGGATTTGCTTCTTTTTAAGGAATATATAAAAACTATTTCTAACGTGAAGGGATCAGACCCTGAGCCTGCAGGCATGCCAGTGTCTACTGTTGCTCCTGTTGCTGAGTGAAATATTGACTGTATTTCAACCAGTGGCAGAATTTCCCCAATGTGTTGAGTGAAATATTGGCTGTATTTCAACCAGTGGCAGAATTTCCCCTGGCTTTTCTGGAGTCTGCATCACACTTGCTTACAACTAGGAAACAACACGAAAACCAGGAGCTTTCTTTTGCTATCCTGCAAGAGAAGTGATTCTGTTCTTCTGCTTGGACATAACAACCACCAGACAAAGAGTTATTATGACTTCTGAAACTGTATTTTCCATGCACTTTCTGCCGTTGGTTTTCATGCTGGGGGAGGAAACAGGACATCAAACAGAAAATTGGTGAAGTGGCTTGAGAGATCAGATTGCAAGATTTGGCAGTAACACCATGGCAAAGAGCAGACACAGTAGCTATTCATATTTCAGAAGCACGTGAGCCCCAGAGAAAGAGATGAAATATTAGATCTGATTAAATTATGAGAAAATAATCTGATGTTGAATTGCTGTTCAGGATGGGTAAAAGGTGGGAATGTTCTTGCGGAGAGGACAGCGTGAATTCCAGCGTATGGGATGTTGTTCAAGGCTGAGATGTGCCTCCCCAAGCACAACCCTAGTCTAACTCTCAGGAGTTATCTTACTCTACAGTTATTTGTTCTGGGACCTAGGCTTTGTACAGTGCTTTTATAGAATCATAGAATCATTTAGGTTGGAAAAGACCTTTAAGGTCATCGAGTCCAACCGTTAACCTAACACTGCCAAGTCCACCACTAAACCATGTCCCTAAGTGTCACGTCTACACGTCCTTTAAATACCTCCAGGGATGGTGACTCAACCGCTTCCCTGGGCAGCCTGGTCCAATGCTTGATAATCCTTTCATTGAAGAAATTTTATAAGCAACTTCTATAAAGGAACATATTGTCATCATCTCCCTAGATAAGTTGTGACAGGCATCCTTCTGTAAATGTTGAAAACAAAGGACAGGAAGATAATAACTAGATTTTGCTTCAGATTTTGGACATTTAAAAGTTAGGTGTGTAGGACTGAGCTAGTCAACCAAGGCTGTATAGTCCATGTAGAAAGGGCAATTCCTGTACTCTGCATTGCACATCTCTCCTACTGTGAGACAAACCATGCTCTGGAGATGCCTCTTTCTCCCTTGGTATAAGAGCACCTTGGAATGATTAGGAGAGATGTAGACATCTCAACTAAGGCAGATTAACTCCAGCCAACATGACCACTCAATAGTTATCAGGAAGCACCAGCTGAGCTGGATATTGAATATCAGTCTCCAGAGTTCCAGGCCCGTGCTCCTTCATTAGTTCAACGAGTTGCTGTTATTAATTGCTATTTTAGGAATACAGTCGTTATTAACTTCAGCTGTATAATATCACACGTGGCATAATCCCAATGTAATAAAATCAGTAATAGAGCATGTTTGGCCAAACATTATAGGTCTGGCCTGAAGCAGGGAGTCTATCACTACAGTAAAAATCAAATTATTTTAAAGGGCCCTTTAAATTCCTTGCAGTTGGTGAAACCCCAGGACTTTAGAGGTAGTTGTTGTCTGACCTTTATTGTATTGGATTATTTATCTATTTATTTGCACAGAAAATTCTGTTTAAACATAAGAAAAAGCCTTTTTCATTGTGAGGGTGGCCAAACACTGGAACAAGTGGCTCAGACATGTTGTGGAGTCTCCATCCTTGGAGATATTCAAAACCCAGCTGGACACCTGAACAACCTGAACCTAGCTGGATGCCTGAACAGCCTGTTCTAGTTGACTGTGCTTTGAAAAGGGGGGTTGGATGAGGTGATCTTCAGAGGCCTCTTCCAACCTCAGCGATAATGTGATTCTGTGATTTATTGTAGGAGAGGTGGTTGTTTTTTTCATATACACATCAGCCTGAGGAAAAATGCGGTGGAACTCAAAGAGTAGAAGGTAGATGTTCTTATCTGCCTTAA